ACCGCTTACCTATCCGCCCACAGCTACCGAGGGTTCGGGTAATGGCAGCTCAGACTCAGACTCCGACTGGGGCTCTGACTGCATTCTGCCGCCTGAACAGAACCTCTTCTACAGCAATCCCCTTACAGGAAATGCTGGTATTGAGGGTTTCCTGCTCCAGTGCCACAACCTGCAGGCCCTGGCCCTCGCAGACACCTCGGGATCCCCTCACGTTAAAATGTAATGACACTAAAAGATTCAGAGCCCCCTAAATGATCAGTAAATAGATATTTTGATTTCAAACCCTCTGCCATATATATATATATATATATGTATATATATTTATATATTTATATATATACATATATAAATATATATGTGTATATATGTATGTTTATGTGTATATACATATATTTGTGAATATATATATATATATACACACATATGTACATATATACACACATATATATGCATGTTAGAGGTGGCTCGATATCTGATATCGATCTGATACCTTCTTTTTTTTCGTGCCACTGGCTGCCATCGCTGAGGTCATAGTGTCCCCGTTTACGGTATGCAAGTTAGCGGCATCTGAGGTATCCGATCCGATCGAGCCATCCCTAATATGTATATATTTGTGTGTGTATATACACAGTATATTTCGGCTGTAACGTAAGGAATCGTTAATTACAAATATACACGCATATATGTGTGTTCGTATATCTAAAAACCACTCTAAATGTCAGACCTTTACTCTGTCATGATGTCATGCCCCTGAAAGCATTTTAAAAAAATCTTATGTTATGCCAGTCAGGGACATGAGAGACTCCCTGTAGCAAACTTTCAGAAAAAAAAAAAAAAAGTTTTATGTTCTTGACAAGTCTGCTAAGCTCAGGTGTTTTCTTAGTTTGACTCCCCAGAAGTGTTTAACTGCAGTTGCCTTAACAGACTGTGACTTAACATATAATAATAATAATTCGCTGGCACTTAAATGTAGGAAATCGTGTTAATTTTGAATTTTGCCAATAAAAACCCTCATCATCAGGGTTCTGTCCAGTTTTGAACGTTGCTCTTGTGCTCACAGCTGACCCCTGCTGGCTAAAGAGCATTTCGACTCTAGTCTTGTTTATGTAAAGAAAACTGAAGGAATAATCCTTATAAAAAAAAAAACATTTTTTACATATTTTACTTTGTGTTCAGTAATATTGAAGAATGTAAAAAAGAACAAGCAAACCAATCAAAAGAACACAATAAACAAAAGGATAATGTCCGAATGTGGCTTCGCGGAATTATAGGGATTGTAGTGTGGAGTGGTCATTGTTGCTCAGTGCGGTCATCGGTGTGTTTCCGAGCCATTAGCTTTACCATCTCATTCGTGCTTATTGTTATTGGAAGGAAACAGTGATGAGGTTTGTCTTTGCACATTAGCTGTTCATGTTCCAGTACTTGGTACTTGGTGGTTTGGGTTTTAAAAAAGCCAATCACATACAGTTTAGTCATTCAAATTACAAATGAAATACTTTATGTAAATGAAGTTTTTTTGTTTTTTTTTTTTGGCTTTGCACGCATTCTATGAACTACACATATATCGTAAAAATTGTGTATTACAGTTCAACTGCATCTTCCTTCTGCAGTTTTAATATTAGTATATATAATATCTGATATTTTATATACACAGTATCTTTGAAATGCATTTGGTTTTTTAAATTGAGATACGCACTCGCGTACTATACATCAGTACCTATGTCACTCCCCTACGCTAACGCAGTGGTGACTTAATCTAGGACGTAAAAACATCGCAGTCTGACTTACATAATGTCCGTAATGAATGCAAACGGTTCTCAAAAAAAAAAAAACCAACACGGATGAAACAAAGCAAATGTAGCACACTCCAATGTATGGCGTACAAGCGACGAATGTAAACAAAGCCGTCTCTCAGAATAGAGTCATGGGAGGTAGCGACGCAACCTTGAAACGCTGTAGGTCGAGGACGTTGTAATACTACATCACTGACCAGGGACACGCTTTGGTCAGAGACCCAAAGTTAGTTTGGCCGTTTTGATTGTACAATATTAAAATTGCTATTGTTTCTGGTGGACACCCAACACTGCATATACATTATATCCCAATATCAGTTTAACTTAGTTCAACTCAATAAATAAATCTGCTGTACGAGTTCCATCAGTTTCATAAATGTGAAACCCTACCTCTTCTGGTGGACTGCGGGGTTCACTTCCGAACCCTCCTTTTCCATTTTCTCCTCTGTTCGCTTACCACAGTGCCGGTTTTGGACCTGTTTGATTGATCACGCAAGATCTGTCAAGCACATAACAATCAGGGCCGTTGTTGCGATTGTATTTTTTTTTAAATTTTAGTTATCCAATAGTATTCCCGTAGACACATACTACCACAGCGTTTGGTAGTACGTGTTCCATAATTGTCAGAGAACCTAAATTTTTCACAAGTCTTTACCCCCGAAGGTTTGAACAACTTATATACCACACAACAGTTATATGATCTCATTGTTAAAGTATTTGATAAAACTGCAATATTTCTGGCATTATACAGTTTTCTGTAGTTCCTCATGTCATTCCTCGCAAGTACTATTTTTAACTCTATGGTTCCACCTAGCATAAAAACTGAACATACTTTATATATATATACTGTATAGATATATATATTAAATGTTGGGGTACTGATTAAATACATATAGCTGTATGGCACACTATTATTCAATTCTTACAGTAAATAGTCTCTACTATGCGCTGTAGTGTTATATTTATGTTTTGTATAATTAATTGTTCTTGGTCTGATAGCACGCCCCTTGCGATCTACTGATGGATCCTGATCCACTTATTGGTTGGCTTGAGTTCAGAACTCCAACCACCCATTGGCGTCAAACTGGCGCTCTCACATTTCACACATTCAGATTATACATTCTGTAGATCACGTATCGTTGAATGACGGCGGCCAGTTCTAATTTCGTGACACTCTGTGTCAGTGTGCAACATGCTTTGCAACTCTGGCTAACAACGCCTGCGGTTTCAGTGTCTTTCCGAAGTATGACTCGTTGCCACTTCATTTTTTTTTTTTATTAGAGATAAAAAAAAAACCCTTGGTGCCAAAATCGTCAGGTGTGTGCCGACCTTTCACACAAACGTCTTTGTGTCAGACCTTTTTATTGGACCTCGCTTTTCGCTCCTGCCAAGGCGTGACCTGACACATTTTCTTTACGCACTTCTTTTTTTTTTTATTGTCCATCTTTGCTGACTGGCCTCAGACATCAGTTAATCGTCACTTAATGTTTAACTTGTATTTCTTTTTATTTACTAATGGTAAAGCTATTTGTACCGAATGTTTGTATCTTTTTGCTCTCAAGAATAAAGGATTAATTGTTGGGTATGATGGAGGAATGTCAGATTCTTTTTGAAATGATGACAAGGTGGTGGTGGTTATTTTTATTTGCCTAAAGTCGAAAAACAGGACACTAATTTAACAGCGAGTCCATCTTTTCAAGGTTCCTCTGAAGATGGGGGAATAATGGGAATATTATTGTTATTTTGTCCTTTAAAGAAAGGTTCCTCTGAAGATGGGGGAATAATAGAGGTTATTTTGTCCTTTAAAGGATCAGTTCAAACTAAAACAAAAGGCAAACAGTCCTTAATCACTACTGAAACTTTTCACTCAACAGGAAGGTTTTAAAATCAGACTCTTTTCCTTGACCAGAAATGTGTCGGCGTCGATGAGAAATATTAAGTCTTATCAGTTTCTGCCTTTCCTTTTTTTTTTTTTTTTTTTTTTTTTTTTTTAATATTTGAGGCAACAGACACGGAGTCTGCTGCTGTTGTTGGGCTGGTGGGCATTCCTCAGCTTAATTCAAGCCAAGTGTGCCTGCATGTCTGTGTGCCAAGTCATTCCACAGTGGAACCTTCTCTCTCTCTCTCTCTCTGTTGTCTCCTCGTCCGTCCCCCTGTTGTGGAGCCTGTGTCTGCTTTCTCTCCCTCTGTTAGGGCTGTGTCGGAAAAAAAAACTATAAACAGCACCAGACTAACCACATTCCTGATCAGTCTTTCAGGAGAAATTATTTCCGGGTCGGGGGTTGAGTTTTTTTTTTTTTTTTTTTTTTTCTGGTTGCTCTTTTGGGCCGACTTGTCCCCCCCGCCCCCCCTCGCTTTCTCTTTTTCTCTCTCTCACTCCCTCTCTCTCTGTGTCTTCTTATTAGAAAAGCAGCTGTTGTAGCTATAAGCGTGTAGACAAAAGAAAACCGCTCGGCTCTTGATCTCTTTTGCAGTTAAACACATTTTGGCGTGGTAATATTCTGTTAATCTTTGGTTTTAATAGCACCATGGACAAGGGGGGGGGGGGGGGGTGTAGGGGAAAATACCGGTGGACTAAGTGTGAAGGCATGTGAGTGTATGGGGACATTAAGTCTTCCTCATGCTCCTGTTGAGTCCCATTTCTCCCAGCTCACTGTACTTGTCTGACTGTCACATTCATCCAAACTGTGCTGGATGTTCTGTTCGACTTCAGAGCTGAGCTTGGCCATGTTTACGTCTTTACCTCTGTGGGTAGTATAGGATAATTGTCTTTTTCTCAGGGCATTATATGCTGTAAACAAATGAATCATGGGCACGACTGGCCAACAGAGGTAGCTGTTTCTCCGCTCACGATCATGAATTTTTATGTCTTGTGCAATGTGCTGATTCATTTTGGCAATGTTTTGCTTTTTTTACCTGCATGGTTTCTAGGTTAGAAAAGTGATTTTTATTAGTAGCTATTCCTGTTTCATAAATAAACGTAGGTACATTTCTTATGCTTATTTTAAACAGTTATGTTATATGTTGTAATTCCCTCATCTTACCCTTTACAGATGCATTTCCAGACAGCCCTCAGCTCTCCACCAAGGATCCCCTGACCCTGTTGCCCCAGTTTCAGCTGTCAAGCCTCAGCTTGCCTGGCCAGCAGCAGTCGCCCCTGCACAGCCCCATCCTGAGTGAGGTGGGCAGCACTACCAGACTGGAGGAAGACGAGGAGGGCAGGAGGAAGGTACGCTGCTCGCTTTTGAAGAGCAGTTATGACAGACTTGGTCTGTGAATGAGGTTTTCTAACTAACGATATGTTTGTATCTTACGTTCCTTTCAGCGATTTCCCACTGACAAGGCTTACTTCATCGCCAAAGAGATTTTGACCACAGAGCGGACATACCTGAAAGACCTTGAGGTCATCACAGTGGTGAGTTAATGCAACTTTTGAATGCATCCTATAGAGGGAGATGTATGTAAGAATTTATGTCGGGAGACTTGTGTTGATTTTACTGCCAGATATTTACATGTATGTTTATATGTATGTATAATAATAAGTGTATCTTACGTTATGTGTGTATATATTTGTATATATACATATATATGTATGTATGTATGTGTATGTATGTATGTATATATGTATGTTTATATATATGTGTGTATATATGTATATATAAATGTGTGTGTATACATAGTATGAACTAATCCAATATTTTTGTCTATGTATATGAATGTACATATACAGTTATCCCTCTCCTATCGTGGTAGATGCATTCCAAGACCCACCACGAAATTGGAAAAATCACGAAGTAGAGAGAGCGAGATAGTTATTATATTATTTACGTATATATATTTACCCTTTACAACCCCCCCCCCCCCCCCCATCTACCAACCT